AGTATATGCGGCTATTCTCTTTTCGTTCTATCTGTTCATCCCGACAACCGAAAGAAAGAGAATCAGAGAAGAAAAAGTATATGCAGAAAAATGCGGAGAAAAAACGACAGAAAGAAAAAAAAGGCGTTAGTTTCCATGCAAAAACAGTTTTTCGTTCCTTTCTCCAAAATCAAGAGTTGTCCAGAAAAAGGTGTAGCATATTTGAAATTCTCGTAAAAATCTGAATCGACTGATGTATACTCTACCCTTGTGAACCACCCCCGGGGAAAAGTAATTTGTTTTGCTACGCTGCCGAGACTAAATCAGGTATGGTTTCGAGCTGAGGTCGAACTATAGTTATCTAAACATGCGTACATTTGTTTTTGAATCACCGTTGTTGACTAAACTATCGATTTTTGTCGGCTGATGTGTACTTTTGGGTAAAACTGCGTCCTGCTATATGTTTTTGTACATATGATCAAGAAATTGTAGTAGAAATGACTGTTTTTTGCAGATTTATGTTAGTAGAATCGTTGCCGATCGTTGAATTAAATTTTGAAAAATCTCCGTTGACCACTGTTGCTCCCGTATAGTTACCAGGGCTCCGTATGGTCCGGTCCAGAACCAAGTCGGACCGGATCATAATCCATTTGGTCCGACTTGATCCCAGTTTTTAAAAAATTTAATGGTCCGAATTGGTCCTGGTTGGAAAACGTTTTTCAAGAAATTCTGACAGGATTTCAACAGCCAAGAAATGCCGTCATGATGTGGTTTTGACTGTAAAAGACGTATTAAGAGAACTTGTTAGTCATCTTAATCGGTTTGATTTGTTCCAGTCCTAGATGACGGATCGTCTCAAGAAGCTTCCTCAATAGAAAAAGTGGTCCAGCATAAAAAAAGTAACAGAATAAAGTGACGAACTATTTTTATCATTGGTCAGCCAATAAGCAGAAAAAAATTTTCTTGGTCGAAATTGCTCCTGGTTCAAAAATTGATGGTTCGGGTTGGTCCTGGTCACAGACCTTTATACGGAGAATGATCCGAAGCAATCCTGACCCCAAAAAATTATGGTCCAGTTCCAAAAATTGGGACCATACGGAGCCCTGATAGTTACATGCACCATTAGATGCATGACTAAAATTCATGCAGTCCAATGAACATTGATCAAATCATGTGAACTTTACTACTGAGTTGGTAAATTTGACATCTGACATAAACAACAGGTCGAGGTACCGGCACACGAAGCTTGTTCTGTGCTGGCGGTGCTCGTTCGAAAAAACATTGTCCATCTTGAATTTTAGAGGAACGTCGTAAATTTTACTTTAATTTTTAGAGCAAAAAAGCTCATTGTAAAGATGGATTGTCACCGTTCGTTGTTAGTCCTTGTCAAAACTCCAAAGTTAAAACAAACAGAATGATTTGGAACGACAATTAAGAAGTATAATTCACCCATAACCGAGATGCTTTTTTTACCTCATTAGACTCATAAACATTCTCTCATGAAGTATTCCTATGAAAACTTGGAGAAGTTGAAGATTTTATTGCTGCACGTGATTATACCGGCGCTATTGCTTATTTAGAAGTATGATGCATAATTTATATTGACAATAAAGAAGTATTGATATTTTCTCTCATAGTTTTGTCGTCAAAATAAAAAAGAAGTCAAAGATCTTGATTTATGGTTGGCTTATGCTGCATTTCACGCATCATTTTATTCACGAGCACGAGAAGTAGCAACGCCAATTTGTTTTCTGCTGAAATATTGCATGATTTTATGTATATTTTAAAGGAATATGAGGAAATTCTTCGAAAAGATCCAAAGAATGGGCATGTACAGATCTATTTGGCCTGTTGTTTATTTTATGGTGCACTTCAGCTACTTTTAAAGCTCCAGCCTACATTTTAAAATTTCCACTTTCGAATGTGTAATTTGAGTTCCATTTTTCGCTTTCCACTGGCTTCAAGTTAACTATTACACAACCTACTACCATTCTAGTCATAATTTTTCGTACAATTTAGTTTTCCAAATTTCTTTCGTTAGAACTTCTCGAGGAAACAACGTCTTACGATGTGGTTTTCACCTAACTGCTAGATATTATTTCTAATTTATCTGTAGAAAAACTCAGCTTAAAATTCTACACAAAATTATGATCATAACTGCATATAACTGCCCTTGAAAAACACCAACAATCATAACGCGTGCAATATTACTACTTAACTCACTCTCACCACACACTCCCCCTCATCCTGTTTAGGGAGATTATCTGTTTCTCTGGTAGTTAGAACTGATGCGCCATATTAGACAATATTCAATATATTCGTCCTCACCTTCACCCTCATATAAATATACGTACATGAGATTACCTGATTGTCTGCTTCTCTGCTGTATCAGAAAGACAGCATTACCATACATAGAAAATATGCAGATATCAACATAAACACTATTTAAATAGTAGAAAAAATCTAAATATGTTACGTATTTAGATTTGCCATCAATTGCAATCGATCTCCGTCTGACAGCCTCATTATAAACACTATCTTGGGGAACTATAACTGCATAACGACTAAGATTCATCTTAAACATTTTTTCCTGCACATCTGAACTACGTGAAGTTTCGTTATGTTATTGAAACGGAAACCAACGCATTTTTTTTAAAAGGCTATTTCCTTGTACTCTCTCAAAAACCATCTTGCTAAAATCGTCATTCTCCTGTTAGATATCTTCTTCGTGTCTGCTCGTCAACGGCCAGAAACTGAGTGATGACTCCGGAATAGATAGTTTTTGTGAAACTCGATGACAGCCAGACATTCAAACTCAGTTTTAGATGTCTAACACGAATAAAATATTTTGAAAGAATAAAAATGAGTTGAAACAGGCGAAAATTTGAGATTTTTTCTGATTGATCAATTTATTCGGTTTTTGGGAGCATCTTGTGTTTTCAAGATTTCTCCTACAAAACTTGATTGAAGAAACTTAAAAGCTAGATATTCTTGATTAGCTTCGCGAGCTCTATCGAACCAAGTATAAATCAAGGATGAACATTTTTCAGTTCGACTTTTGCATCTCAATATTGTTCTGTTCGTATGTAGTTAGTGAAGAATCAACCGAAGGAAGAACCACCAAAAGATCATCCGAAACAAATCTGGAAGATGAAAGTGAAGGTATATAGACTGTTTTAGAAATTTTTTGCTACGTGACAGCACAAAAGGCTTTTTCATTGAATCAGACAGTCCCTTCATGAGCGTAGCGGTGTTTTGTGGATTCAGTTCAGTGACTCAACTGTTCAGCTTTTAGGAATCAGTCAGTGATTCCGTTTGGAATAAGTGAGCGATAAATAACAAGATTTTGATTTTTTTTCAACATTTCGTCAAACATAGCACATATCGAAAATAGTCTCATTCGCTAGACAAGGAACGTCTGCATCGATTAGACTGTTTTAGACGTTTTCACCATTTGACAGCTGAAAAAGCTTTTTCATTGAATCAGACAATCCCTTCATGAGCGTAGCGGTGTTTTGTGGATTCGGTTCAGTGACTCAACTGTTCAGCTTTTAGGGATCAGTCGTTCATTCCGCTTGGAATGAATATAACAAGATTTTCACTTTTTTTCAACATTTCGTCAAACATAACACATATTCGAAAATAGTCTCATTCGCTAGACAAGGAACGTCTGCATCGATTAGACTGTTTTAGAGATTTTTACCATGTGACAGCAGAAAAGGCTTTTTCATTCAATCAAACAATCCCGTCATGAGCGGAGCAGTGTTTTGTGGATTCAGTTCAGTGACTCAACTGTTCAGCTTTTAGGGATCAGTCATTCATTCCGTCTGGAATGAATATAACAAGATTTTCACTTTTTTTCAACATTTCGTCAAACATAACACATATCGAAAATAGTCTGATCGATGGACAAGGAAATTCTGCGTCAATTAGACTGTCTTAGAGATTTTTTGCCATGTGACGGCAGAAAAGGCTTTTTCATTGAGTCAGACAGTCCCTTCATGAGCGTAGCGGTGTTTTGTGGATTGAGTTCAGTGACTGAACTGTTCAGCATTTACGGATCAGTCATTCGTTTCGTTTGGAATTAATGATCGACAAATAGCAAAATTTTGACTTTTTTCAGCATTTTCTCAAACATAGCACATATCGAAAAGGGTCTCATTCGATAGACAAAGATGTTTGCGTCATACTTTATAGATGCCGCTAATCACTACTGACATCACTCATCTGCTCTCATTTGCTTTCATTCATTCATTTATGCTCTTTTTTTCATTCGTTTCTCATTTTTGTCGTCGTGCGTACCCATCGCGTTTCTCGCCTCGTGTCTGCCACGTTTTGGTTTTTCTTTTTCTTATTGACCATCGTCCAGTTTGTCCTTTGTATTTTTATATGTGTGATTATTTCAGTCCATATTTTTCCATACATATATACATACATACATTTAGTATAGATATATATATATATATCGTATTACAGGATTTTTCTTCAGTTTATACAAAAAACGATTTGTGATAGTACGTTTTTCTTCTTATAAAAATAAAAGTGAAAACAAAACAACATTCAAACAACGTGGTGAGTGATTTTAGTGTAGCGCTCTGATCCTTTGTAGATCGGGATGTTCGCCTTGGACTCAGTACTTTTCCGCCTTCGCCTACTGCGGAGAGACGGAGTATCTGTTTTCTGAGTCTCTAGCGACAGACAGCTTACATTTTGGCGCTCCTGGCTGAGATAGTTAGATCTACATTTAATTTTTTCAAACTGATACCCTCGTATTAACTATTACCACACCAAAAAAGTCTTTTAAATGCATTTAATTAAATGGATACCACGCACAGTAGTTCTTTTGTAAACACGAAGTGCGTTGTTGACTATAAACGACGCAGAGCAATAATTCCATCACCAAATCAACCAAATAGACATTCAAAGTATACGTTCACAATGTTTGAAGATAATAATCTTACAACAGAACAAGATATTGCATCGAAGACAGGTATAAATACAAATAAAGATTCGCAAGACGGAAAACAGCAACAGGAAATTTCTTCTACAGTCAGCTATAATAATAGTAAAAGTAACGAACGTGAAAAGGATTCAACATCAGATGAAGAAGAACAGTCAGAGGGAAATAATGATATTTTAAATGAAAAGACGCTAAATGCACAAACAAAAGGTGATGAAGATTTTGATACATTTATTCTTAATAATTTTAAACCGTTTGATGGTAATCAAAACGTGATAACATGGCTGAATGAGACCGAACAAAAATTTAATCACTTCAAGCTAAATAGATTTTCACGTCTATCATCTGTACCTTTATTGGTTATTAATGACGCCAAACGATGGTATATTCGCTGTAGGCGTGAAATACATACGTTTGATGATTTTTACGAATCGATATTCCAAGAATATAATCAATCCTCCCCTTCACTCACTACATCATCCACACTTAATCCATCTAAAAATGTTTCTGGAAAAAGACTTACATTCCATCGAAGTAAGTCTGAAGAGCGTTTAAATGTAGACAAAATAGTTGCTGAAAATATGACAACATATTTACTGGCAGTTATCAGACGGTATTTTTGCAGACCTAAAAACGGCCAATAAACTAAACAGGTTTTAGGTGGTTTTTAGACAGTTAACAGGTTGTCAACTGGCAGTTAATGAGCAGTTTATTGCCATTTATTACAATGACCAACATGGATAGCTAACAAATATATTGACAGGAAAAATGAACTAAAGGAAAGTAAACTATATACACACGCGGTAATTAGCAACTACTATGTGTCGTCAAGTTTTCTGACTTTTCAGCAGATGTGGTAACTTACGTTAATGTCCAGTTTTTCCGCCATATTTTGGTATAGTCGTTGAAAATGAGTTATCAGAACGTGTACAATATTTATATATATATACACGCTGTTCGGACTAACACAAACAGCGGATGATATGATATGAATTTCTTTCTTCTTTTCTATTGTTTCCTCAATATACATTTCAGTCGTGGTCAAATACAACAGTGAAGAGAAAAACGTCCAATGTGTGTTTGTTTCTAAGTTATATAGTGAATAACTTGTTGTAAACGTTGAATTGTTGATTCATTGTTCGTAAATGACTTATCCAGCCAAACCAACGTAAAATCTTCGAGATTTTCATTTTCAACTGATGAAAAAATTCGTGTTACAAGATCTTATAAGACCTTGTCACGTCTTATGAGATGACCTTGTCAGTTCTTATGCAGTGAGCTCTTGTTACAAGATTTCAGAAGAAAATGACAGATCTTGTATGATTTTGTAAGATGAATTTCACCTAGATTACTAAAATAAGGAAAGTGCGAGAAAACGTATCATTTTCTCACAAGAATGACAAGGTCTTATAAGATCTTGTAACACGAATTTTTTCATCAGTTGAAAAT